AGAGGAAGGGAGAGATAGAAACATCAATGATGAGAGAGAATCACTGATCGGCTGTCCCTTATACGCCCCACACTTGGGATTGAGCCCGCAACCCGAGCATGTGCCCTGACCAGGAATCAAACCCTGATCTCCTGGTTCACAAGTCAATACTCAACCACTGAGCCACGCTGGCTGGGCAGACTTGAGTTTTTGAGTTCAACTCAGCTGGGCTGAGTTACTGAGTTGAGTTAAACTAGGAGTGGCTAGTAGGTTGAACTGAGGCCCATTGGGTTGAGTTGGAATAAGTTATATTATTGAATAGGACTGAGTCACACCTGGATTAGTGACCTCATGTTGGCAAAGTGTGTGTCCATAGCGCCTCCATGGGGGAAGTTCTGGTTCATTCTCTTCATAAGCTCCGTGAAGCAGCTGAAGGTGAGGGCCTCTGGGGAAAGAGCACAGGAGAAACCAGCAGCTCCACCACTGCCCAAGGGACTGGAGGTCCCAAAGTCATGGTCTCAGGCCCTGACCTGGCCACACATGAGAAGCATATGGCCAATGGAATGCTGGTGCATCCATTCCAAGGAGGGTTCATGAAATTCTCATGTCTGGGAACTTCTGTATTACAACAGCAAACATCAATATTGGAAGGATGTTATGCAAAAAATGCTAAAATAATGTTGAGAAAAGCTGCTTTGAGAGTCACTACAAATATTAGGAAAAAGCTCGCTTTCCGAGGACGGCTATGGAGTCTGAAGCCGCCACGGGATCTGGAGCTGTCCTATCCCCTCCTCTTCCACTTCCTGTTGCAACCAAATGCCATTTGTACCAAGAAAGAAAGAAAGAAAGAAAGAAAGAAAGAAAGGAAGGAAGGAAGGAAGGAAGGAAGGAAGGAAGGAAGGAAGGAAGGAAGGAAGGAAGGAAGGAAGGAAGGAAGGAAGGAAGGAAGGAAGGAAGGAAGGAAGGAAGGAAGGAAGGAAGGAAGGAAGGAAGGAAGGAAGGAAGGAAGGAAGGAAAGAAGGAAGAAAGAAAGAAAGAAAGAAAGAAAGAAAGAAGGAGGGAGGGAGGGAGGAAGGAAGGAAGGAAGGAAGGAAGAAAGGGAGAGAGAGAGAGAAAGGAAGGAAGAAAGGAAGGAAGGAAGAAAGAAAGAGCTCTGAGAAGTCCTACAATAAAGAAATCTGTTTTCATATTGTTTAACCCAGTGTTTAAAACATTTATTTAAAAGGGGTACCTTTTTTCTCTTAACACCTAGTAATTTTGGGGAGAGTTATGAGGTGTCCCAAGGCATAGTAGGATCGCATTCATTTTTTTAGACTATTTTTTAAAAACAGTTTAGATGTACAGAACTGAGAACAGAGTAGAGAGAATTTCCATATACCTCCACACCCAGTTTCCCCTTTTACAAATATCTTATGTGCAATATGGTACCTTTGTTATCATTGATGGCCCACTGATAGTATATTATTTACGAAAGACCATAGTTTTTAACCTAATGCTCCTCTTCTGTTCCAAGAACCCATCTAGGGTAGACATATTGGTCATGTCTCCTTAGGTTCCACTTGGCTATGAAAGTTTCTCAGGCTTTCCTTGTTTCTTATGACCTTGAGAGTTTTGAAGGGTACTTGTCAGGTATTTTCTAGAATGCCTCTCTACCGGAGACTGATGTGTTTATCATGATAAGACTGGGATTACGGGTTACTGGGAGAAAGACCACATAGGTCACGTGTCATTCTGATCTGGGCCTGGGTTTTTCCTTTAATTCCCATTCCTGTTTGTACCATCAGTGGCTAGCAACGCCCTGGCTGGGTGGCGGGCACTGGGCATTCAGCGCTGGCCACCATGGAACAGAGGACTTTTTATTTCATGAGGACCCTGATGTGTTCACCAGATAGGCCTTCTCAGCACCTGTCCTGCCACAAAGTGAAGTTCACCGCCCATCTCCCCCCGCCCCCAGCAGTAGGAATGAAACTGCACCCCCAGCCCTTGGCAGGAGAACACACTCACCGTCATCCAGAATGACCAGCAGTGGAGCCAGGAGGTCACACATGCCCTGGACATAGCCAATCTCAATGTGCTGCCAGATGTAGCTACGACAGAGACACAGGGGCTCAGTGTGGACTCCCACAGCTTGCCTCTCCAACCCATTCCTCCCTTGCCTCTGTGGTCCAGCTCCCCAACCCTCACCTGGACCACGCCCTCAACCTCCTGCCTGCATCCCCGTCCCCAACCTCACTCTCCTCAAACATCACATGCTCAGCACCAGGAAGACCTTCCCAAAGCCCAGCTCAAGGAGGTCACTGAGTGCTCAAAACGGTCAGTCTTCCTCTGTGTAACAGGACAATATCCAAGCCCTTAAATGGGGGCACAAGGCACTTACAGTCTCTCCCCTTCCATATTCACAGTCTCACCCATCAGGTCCCAGTACTTCTTCCTCTCTGGCCACATGGAACTATTTAAATTGTACACATAAAGCACACGCTCATGGCCCTGTGCTTGCACAGTTCCCTCTGTCTTAAATTCCCACCTGCCACTTAAAAGTAGTGAATATTTACTGAGCATTTACTGTTCACTCAGCCTACTATACATATATGGCATCATTTAATTTTCAGAATAATACAAAAAAGGAACTATTATTATCCCATTTCACCAATGGAGATAGGCAGAGATAAGTGACACACACAGAGTCATATGCCTGATAATAAAGGACAGAGGCAGGATTTGAACCCAGGCAATCTCAGGGTATGTGCTCCTAACCTGTAGGCCAAATGGTTTCTTCAGTTTTTCCTAATTTTGTCCAAGTCCATCTCGACTGTCACCACCTATGTGGTGTCTTCCATGATTGTTCCCAATGCCATAACCTGGCAAAAATCAGTCTCTCCTTCCTTCTCCCCCGTTAGTTTTTCGTTTTAATGTAACATTAGTATGTTACATTATATTTGTACCTCCTAGACTAAATTTTGGTCGCTTAGGGGACAGTAACAGAGAATAGTTAAGCAGTGGTGCTTATTAGTAAGAATGTGCTAGAGCGGGGATTAGTAAACCTTTTCTGAGAGGTCTACACAACAATTATTTTCCGCTTTGAAGGCCACCTCTTCTCTTCTCAACTGCTCAACTCTGCAGAAGCAGTCACAGCACTATGCAAACAAATAGGCATGGCTGGGTTCTAATAAAGCTTTATTGACAGAAACAGGTGATGGGCTGGAGCTGGCCTGTGGGCATAGTAGTTTGCCAAACCAAGTTAGAGTAGCGTGGAGAGAAGTCCAGGATGTATTCCTGAGCGCAAAAATCAAGTTGTAGAGAAAGTTTGTAGTATAATTTCATGTAGGTAAAAAAATTTTTTACACTATAAAACATGATGTTATTATATGTCATATAATATACTATCTATGCTATATATATATAGCTTTTAGAAATAAAAATAATTTAGAAATAAAAATAATTTTTAATGAAAAGTAGTAAGTAGCCCCAGGTCTTGGCTTAATAAAATACAGCACAGGTTCCAGAGCCCCAGAGATGTGGGGATGAGTTCCCGCTCAGCCACTGCACAGCTGGAGGCCTTTGAGCAATGTCTTACCCCCTGAGCCTCCATTTCCTCACCTATAAAGGGGGATAATACTTACCTGAGAGGCTTGTTGTGCGGATTAAGAGAGATGATGTCAGTGAAGGGCTCAGGATAGAGCCTGGTATACAGCATGTGCTTAATAAATGTCCTCTATTATTAACACTACTATGATTGTTATATTGTCAGAGTTGGCTGGAATAAGATCTGGTGGGCACGTGCCAGCTGGCAGAGGCTGCAGTTCTAGCTGGGCTCTCCGCAGTCCACCTGCTACCCTCCCCATCCGATCTGATCCCCTACAGATGCAGCCCTGCCCCGGCCCCAGCCACCTGCACCTGAGG